CAGTCTGAAACCAGTCTGAAACTTGAGGGCGGGGATTTGGCCTCTGGAGGAGAAAAGGTGGAGGGAGTTAACAAGGTGTAGTAACCAGGTGTAGTAATCAGGTGTAGTAACAGGTAGTAGTAACCAGGTGTAGTAACCAGGTGTAGTAACCGGGTGTATTAACCAGGTGTAGTAACCGGGTGTAGAAACCAGGTGTAGTAATCAGGTGTAGTTACAAGGTGTAGTAATCAGGTGTACTAAGCAGATGTAGTAACCAGGTGTAGTAACCAGGTGTAGTAATCAGGTGTAGTAACCGGGTGTAGAAACCAGGTGTAGTTACAAGGTGTAGAAACCAGGTGTAGTAACCAGGTGTAGTAACCAGGTGTAGTAATCAGATGTAGTTACAAGGTGTAGTAATCAGGTGTAGTAACCAGGTGTAGTAACCAGGTGTAGTAACCAGGTGTAGTAACCGGGTGTATTAACCAGGTGTAGTAACCGGGTGTAGAAACCAGGTGTAGTAATCAGGTGTAGTTACAAGGTGTAGTAATCAGGTGTAGTAACCAGGTGTAGTTACAAGGTGTAGTAACCAGGTGTAGTGATCAGATGTAGTTACAAAGTGTAGTAATTGGGTGTAGTAACCGGGTGTAGAAACCAGGTGTAGTTACAAGGTGTAGTAACCAGGTGTAGTAACCAGGTGTAGTAACCAGGTGTAGTAATCAGGTGTAGTAACCGGGGAGTTACAAGGTGTAGTAATCAGGTGTAGTAACCGGGTGTAGAAACCAGATGTAGTAACCGGGTGTAGAAACCAGGTGTAGTAACCGGGTGTAGAAACCAGGTGTAGTAACCAGGTGTAGTAACCAGGTGTAGTAATCAGATGTAGTTACAAAGTGTAGTAATCGGGTGTAGTAACCGGGTGTAGAAACCAGGTGTAGTAACCAGGTGTAGTAATCAGGTGTAGTAACCAGGTGTAGTGATCAGATGTAGTAACCGGGTGTAGAAACCAGGTGTAGTAACCAGGTGTAGTAACCAGGTGTAGTAACCAGGTGTAGTAACCAGGTGTAGTAATCAGATGTAGTTACAAGGTGTAGTAACCAGGTGTAGTTATAAGGTGCAGTAACCAGGTGTAGTAATCAGGTGCAATAACCAGGTGTAGTAACCAGGTGTAGTAAGCAGATGTAGTAACCAGGTGTAGTAACCAGGTGTAGTAACCAGGTGTAGTAACCAGGTGTAGTAACCAGGTGCAGTAACCAGGTGCTCACCTAGCACGTTGAGTCTGCAGGTGGAGGAGGCGGACCCGATGGAGTTCTCCGCCTTGCAGGTGTATTCTCCGATGTCGGCCTTGCCGGCCTTGCTGAGCTTCAGGCAGGCGGTGCCGCGGCTGAACTCCAGCCTGCAGGTGGCGCTGGAGCGCACCTTCCCGTCGGCCTTGAACCAGAACACCTTGATCTCAGGTGTACCGCCCACCTGGCACTTCAGACACACGGCGTCACCTGTAGTCACCTCCATCGGCTCCAGGGACTCCACGAAGTACGGAGGCTCTGCAGGGACAAACAGCAGGGACACAGTGAGGAGGAGCTGACACCTGCTGGACAGAGCTGGTACTGCATACAGACTAAAACTGAGTATTACTGAATATCTACTGCGTATTATTCTGAATATCTTCATATCGATCCAAACATTTCCCAAGCTGGGATCATAAAGTACATCTTCTCTATCTTATAAGGTTTCCTGTAAACATATGGTTATTCTGAATTAGACAGTTTAGCATTTATAAAGTAGAAAACAGGTTAACTTGTTTCTGCATTATGTTAACTAACAAACATTTAAAGTATTAAATGTCTGGAAATTAAAGAATATACGTTGTTATTATCAGGCCTAAAGTTTGTTAAACACTTTAACTCAGTTTAGGTAGAACATAATGCTGATCTTTATTCAAAATGATGCAAAGACGTCCCATAAACAAAGTGAAATCTCTTGTTTTCTCACCGAGGATGGACACGTTAGCGTCACACTGGTCCTTCCCGGCATCGTTGGACACCTCGCAGGAATATTTCCCAGCAGCCTCTTTGTCATCGGTGCTCAGGCACTCGAGGATGCAGGAGCTCTCGGTGGTGGTGATGTTGTATTTGTACGAAGCGAAGATCGGCTGGCCGTCTTTGAACCAGTTCACGGTGATTTTAGGAGTTCCTGTGTAGGTGCACTCCAGGGTCAACGGTTTCCCCTTCTCCACCGAAACATCCTTCAGCTTCTTAGAGAAGGCTGCTGGATCTGAGGGGAAATATAAAGCATGTAAGTTTAGTTTAAAGTGTGTTAATAGAAGAGAAAAGCATAGAAAGAGAGGCACTATTTTACTGACCCAGTCTTTGTTATCTCAATACGGTACGATAGTAAAAATGAGTTACCCGGGGTGCTTGAGAAAACATAATTTTAGAATAAAATAACTTCAGATTTATTTCCATCCAAAAGTTTACATTTCATATTTGTTAACTTATAATAATATTAAAGATTATATGTGCAAAATAGTTATGCTATTGTTCTTCCTTGTGTTGTTGCCCATTGTCTGCAAATGTTCCCATTGTGGGGCAAATAAAGAATAATTTACTGCTTTTAAAACTGATATTATTTTTCAAGTACTTTATTAAATGCTTATAGTAAATGTTGATGGTGTGAAATGACTTTCACCACCCTTTAGCAGTATGTGTATTAAAGGTTGTCTGGATCTACTTGATGCTGCAAAAACAGTGAAACCTAACTTATAAGTGCTGGTTTAATAGAAGAGGCGTATGATGTTAGTCTGTCATGGCTTCACATGCCTATTGTTGTGCGAATAACAGCTTCAACAACATTTTGGAAATCAAACTCTGAAGCCCCAGGCTCCTTCAACAGTGCAACATACAATATTCTCAAGATATAGGAAGAAATAAAGAATTAAAACAGAGCAACGTGAGACAGACCTTTGACGGTGAGGTTGACGGGGCTGCTCTCCTTGCCGGCGTCGTTGATGATCTGGCAGGTGTACTCCCCTGCGTGGGACCGGTCCACCGTGAACAGCTCCAGGACCACCTGGTTGTCCTTCAGGGAGAAACTGCAGTCTTGTCCGGGCAGGATCTCCTTCGCTCCTCTGAACCACTTCAGTTTGAGCGGTGCGCTGCCTTTCACCATCGCAGAGAACGTCACGTTGGAGCCCGGCATGGCCTCCACCGGCTGGGGGGGAACCACGAAGGATGGGGGCTCTGGAGGGTTGCAAGCAGAGGGTAACACGTTAAACATGGAGGAAGTGTCAAACTATATAAGGGAATAAATGTGCTAAAATCAGGAGAATTTAAACTTGAACTCTAGCTACTTGGAGCCACCATTCACTGAGCAATGAAGAGTTGAACTAGAGCTATTGATATATTAATAAATACCACCAATACTCAGAAAATAAGGTAAGAATTTCTGGCGTTAATATTGTACATTTACAAGAAAGTAAATACATTTTCTGAGAAGTAAGTGTTGGTGTAGTGCGAAGAGGTTGATCCCACCTTGCAAAGTGACGGTTCCTCGACAAGAAAAAACAGGGCTGAGAAACTCATTAAAAGTGGAGGAACATATGATGATCTCATCAAATACAATGCATACTAGCCAGCAGACTATATATGAGTTCATATCTATATCTTACCAGACTCCCTGGTCAGATCTGGCTGCTAAATTGGCTAGCTTGGTGTTAGCAAATTACTGTGGCAGCTAACGTAACATAGCAACCAAAAATAGATCCTGCCGTTCAGTTAAGTTTCAGCTAGCTCATAAGTTAGTTTGCCCGCTCACAATCTTTATCGCCGGTAAAATACTACCTGCTAAATCTAAAGGGAAAGTCTGTGTTTGCAAAGCTGAATATGACAAATGGAGTCGTTTTGTCAAATAATAACCTGCTTTCTACTAGCCGACAGCGATGCAAGGCATTGTGTAGCTAACTAACTAACCATAACCTAAGTTAGGGTTAGCTAGCTAGCTTTACTTCAGCTAAGCCGCTTGGATCTGGTGTTGGTTGCTCAGTAAGTGAACTGATAAAAGTAATTTGATAACGGCAAGCTAGCAAGTATCATTTAGCCAATAGAGGAAATATTGTACATGAACATTTCAGATAGAGCCATCATTCCTAATATGACTTTAAAGTAATATCGCTTTTTTTGGCCAATGCTCAGAGTTTTAGCGAGCAACAGGAAGCTGGTAGCAGTTCACTAAATGGCCTAAATTAGTGTCACTAATAACAAGTATTTCCTGGAAAATGAAAGTTAGCATGCGGGGTTTCTCTGTGTGTACTTCCTGACCTTTCACAGCCATAGAGGCCGAGGTCTCGCTGGATCCAGCCTTGTTCAGAGCTTTGCATTTATACAGTCCAGAGTCGGACAGCTTCAGCGTGGACACTTTGAGCGTGCAGCTGTTGTTGCTGAAGTTGATCTCATAGTTGGGTCCGCTCTGTATCTCCTCCCCATCGTGGTACCAGGAGATGGTGAAAGGTGGGGAGCCCGACACTTTGCACTCCATCTCTCCGGCTGCTCCAACCACTGTGTTGAGATCCTTCAACTTCCTTGAGAACGATGCAGGAATGATCTTATCTGTTAGGACAAATGAGGACAAATACAAGAGGCAATGTCATTCGAGAGACTTGGTGTCATATAGTCAATGCTCTTGTGTGATGCTTGAGTTTAGACAACATTTAGCATTTGAGAAATTGTTGGCAGTTTACCAACTTCTGCAGATATTTTCATATATTATTTAACTCACATCTAAATGAGTATTAAAGGGTTTATTGTTGTGGATTGTTGGAGAACCAAACCAATTGTCTCATAGTATCGAACAGTTATGTTAAATCTAATTTGTACCGCTGAAATAGCAATGTAGACCCCTTCTGGTAACCTCAATTTCAAATGACCTAGATCCACCACTGTTTGTAAAAACCCACTTTTATATTTCTCAAATAAATACAGAAAGAAGATATCAACAATTACTTTGATATTGGTACCAAATCTAAAGTATCATAGACCTTTCACTTCTGGTTAGATGCTAATATGTGTTGTCTTAGTACTTGTTCTCTGTGAAATGTCAATACAGTTGAGTCTAATCCAACCATAAAAGCAATAACCATAAATTCAAACAAGCCCTAGTAACATTTAGGTAAATGACACCAACCTAAGACTGTGAGGTTAATCTTGCTTAGGTCCTTCCCGACCTCGTTCATAACCTCAAAAGTATATTCTCCAGAGTCCACCTTCTCAGCAGAGAGGACGTTCAGGCTGGAAATCATCTGAGAAAATGAGATCTTGTACTTCCTGCCAGAGGCCAGCTCCACCCCGTCCTTGAACCACTTGGGTGTGAGCTGTGGGGTTCCACACACTTTGACCTCCAGGGCGGCCATGTCGCCCGCCGTCACGCTCAGAGCGTCGGGCTTGTCCACTATCTTAGCGGGTTCTGGAAAAAACAGAGAAGAAGCAGAACACGTTCTTAATCAAACCTGCAGGAGGAAGGATGGGAGAAAAAAAACTGTATGAGAAAGAGAGAATTATATGATTACAAACCTAGAACAGTCAAGTTAGCGAAACACTCCACACTCCCAGCATCGTTTCTGAGACAGCAGGTGTATTTGCCTGCCGTGGTTGCATCAGCCTTAAAGACTTTAAGAGCGACCTGGTTGTTCTCTAGGGTGATTTTCCTGTTGTCACCGTCCCTGAGAATGTGATCCTTGTCTTGAACCCAGGACACAGTAATGGGTTCAGAGCCTTTAATAGTGGCCACAATGGTCACCTCCTCCCCCAGAATCACTGTCTTGTTTGACAGTTTCTTCACAAACGACGGCGGCTCTGAATAGAGGAGAAAAACAGCGCAAAAGGGAAAGTCAGCAATGTGACAAAGTAAGTGGAAAATCTATTGATTGTGATTTTCATTTGAGACTATCACTACTGACCTCTGAGTTTAACTGACGTCTGGCAGGTGTCACTTCCTACACTGTTAGTCACTTTGCACTCGTACTCGCCGGCATCCGAGGCCTCTATCCCAATGACATGCAGCGTGACCGAGCTGCCCTCGCTCACCATCTTATACTTCCTGCTCTCCATCAGAGGCTTCATGTCTTTGAACCAGGTGATCTGGAACGGAGCTGTACCGCTCATCTCGCAGTACAGACTCACGTCCTTCCCCTTCAGCCCTTCAACGGGCTGGGGTACTTTAGTGAATGATGGGGCGTCTACAAAAAGATCAGGAAACTGTTAAAGAGTCATACATGGCAAAAGAATCCATGATGAAGTCTTAAAGCTGAAACCCGTAACATGTTCTCAGTTCTCGCGCTCTGCAGTGGCAAAATGCCAACTGTTAAGAACGAGCTTTTACGTTTTGGAAACGTAGCTAACGTGGTGGGACGATCATCACGATGGCCAAGCTGGGAATGTCTGCGCAATTATAGCCTATATGTCAGATTTGTGTGAAAATTAAAACTAAGAGATGTCAATAGCAATAACACAAGTCCAAGGATTTACAGCTACGGAAGTTTAATTTGCTGTAGGAGTTTGTTGGGACTACAACTAAGATGTCTGGGTTGATTTTTGTGGATATTGGAACTGAAGTAATGACTGCAGAGTTAAACATATTGGATAAAACTACAATTAAAATGGGGGGCAATCCTGCAAAAGATGGCAAAATGTATGTGGAATTGCTTGAAACTAAAGAAAAGAGGGAACAGTGTTATGTCATTGGTTGTATCTAAAGCTAATTGCATAATTGATGTGGAGTTGTTTGGGAACTACAGCTAAAATGGCAGGACTATTGTGGAATAGTTTGGAACTACGGATAATCTGGCAGACGTTTTGTGAAAATTGCGGGAACTACAGTCCAGATGGCGGACGTGTGAATGTTTGGTAGAACTACAGCTAAAATGGTGGGGATGTAGTGGAAGGATGATGGAAGTATAGCTAAGATGGCGGATGTATTGTTGAAAAGTGTGTATTCTTCCTGATTATTTGAGGCATGTTTTTATTTGTATATCGAGATGAAAGAGCCAACCCCACCAGCCGAGAAACATCTCTCAAAAGCACTAAATAAGAAACGAGTCTCGGACCAAAGTGACGATTCTCCAGCAGACCGGATATAGAAAGAACTTGAATGTTACGTGTTCCAGCTTCAAGCAACACAACAGCACACTGAAGAGCCAGTGCATCAGAAAGACCATGAATTAGGACTAATGAGGATTAGGAAGTCAGGAAGGGGCTGACCTTTAACGCTAAGTGTGGTGCTGCAGCTGACACTGCCAGCATCATTCTGAGCTTCACAGGTGTAAACTCCATCATCATTCAAGCTCGTTGACAGCAGTTCCAGGACTGCTACCGAGTCAACAAATGATGTCCTGTAGTTGCCCCCATCCGTGACCTTGGTGTCCTGTTTGTACCAGGTCACTTTCAGAGGAGCTGTGCCATTGACTTTGCACTCCAGGCGGAGTGACTCTCCCTGTTTCACAAACTTAGTGACAGGGAGTTTCAGCACAAACTCGGGGGGTTCTGGAAAGCCAAAATACAGACACATTAGCTGCCGGCAGTAAGTAGGGTCACTTCAGATGTTGTTAGAACAGGCAGATGAGATAAGCTGACGATGGTGGGTTAGCAGCAGAGACAGGATGGTGGTGGAAAATGCAGGAGCATCACAAAGGCAACAAATGACGATAAGATGCAGTGGTGACAAACAGCTTGAATATGAAAGAACGGCAGCGATGCTGATGTGAGATGGAAACAGCCACGCAAGAGTTTGAAAGAGGCCAACCTTTGACTGTCAAGTCTGCACTACAGCGCACAGAACCAGCATCGTTGCTGACTTGGCAAGAGTAAGCTCCACTGTGGGTGACCCCCACTTTGTAGAGCTCCATGAAGCAAGAGAGCCCCTCCAGCCCGGTGAAACACGAGGGCCCGGTCATGAGCTCGGAGTCGTCCTTGAACCATTTGACTGTGAAGGGAGGCGTTCCCTTAAATGTGCATTTGAAGCGCACAGTGCCGTTGGGTACAGCCGCCTGGGACTCAGGCAGCGTCACAAAGCTGGGAGGCTCTGAAGAGAATAAGACGGATCACGTTAAAGAGGGTACTCACCTTTGATTTGCACGACCAACCATGTTGGAGAGCAAAGTCTAACCTTTAACCACGAGGGATCCGCTACTTTCACAACTCCCCGCTGCGTTGGTCAGTTTGCAAGAGTAGCATCCTGCGTCAGATCGCTCTAGCTGCTCGATCTCCACGGACACAGAGTTGTCCTGCTGGATCAGTTTGTGTTTCACACCACTAGAGACTTTGCTCCCGTCTTTCTGCCACTCCACAGAGATGGGCAGCGAACCAGATATTTTGCAACTGATCTGAACAAAGGAGCCCAATATCTCCCCCATGTCTACCAGAGGCTTGCTGAAGCTCGGGGGAATCACTTGTTCTGTTACCAAAAGACATTTTAGGAAAAGGTAATTAGACTTTATTCAACATGTACTACAGGAGTTTTACGTTTTGCACACCAACCTAGAACGATCACTTTGACTTTGCAGCTGCAGCTACTGATGTGGTTTGCCACCTCGAACACATACTCTCCTTCGTCCTCTTTCTGAGCCGACTGAACCCTGAGGCTGCTCATTTTGTTCTCAAAGGTCAGCTTATGCTGCCTAATGGACTGAAGCTCCTTTCCATTTTTCATCCATTTCACTTTGAGCTCAGGGGAGCCCGTCACCTTACAGTCCAGACTGACTGGATCTCCGACTGTAACCTTAATCACTTCAGGTTTTTCTGTGATCTGAGGCGGCTCTACAATGCAAAAGGACATTCAAACAGTTTATAACGTTCCCAACAGTGTTAGAAAAGATTGGAAGCCATCATTAGTTTAGCAAAAGTATACCTTGCACAGTTAGCGTGGCAAAGCACTTCTCCTGCCCGGCCTCGTTCACCACCTGGCAGGTGTACTTCCCGCCATGTGTTGCTTCACAGGCGGGAATCCTGAGAGTGGCCACATTGTTCTCAAATGTTCTCTCAATCTTTGCATTCTCCAAAATCCAGTTCTCATCTTTTTGCCATTGTACAGAGAGAGTTGGAGAACCCTTCACAACACACTTAAACTCTGCCATTTTACCGAGAACAGTGGCAGTGTCCTCGAGCCTCTGGGTAAATGTTGGTGGTTCTATTACAATAAAAAACAATGAAGTGTTAAAGGAAACGTTGAGTTTTACCTCAGAGATAGATATGTGGAGTTGTATTTCTGATTAGACCGACCTTTGAGGTTTAGCGTAGTCTTACAAGTACAGCTCCCGACCTCATTAGAAACCGTGCACTGGTATTCACCGACATCTACGGCGTCACACTTGTGCACCTCTAGCCTCACAGTGTCGTTCAGCTGGGAGAAGCCATGCTTAGCACTTGGTTTGATCTCCTTTGCATCTTTGTGCCATGTGATCTCAAATGGACCGGTCCCAGCGACCTGACACTCAAAGCAGGCGCTAGAGGCCTTCACAACATCCGCCGCAGACAGCTCTCTAATAACTGATGGCGGTTCTGAGACGGGAAAACAAACTGTTAACTAACTTTTTTTTCGTAACAGTGGATTATTTCCTCAATATGTTAAAATGCAGACTATGTTTACATTTGGAGGCAAAGTTTCCCAAATAAAAGTTTCTATATGGTTTAAGTCCGAACTTGGAGTGACCCAATAAGCAACATCAACTAGGGCTGGGCGATATCTAGAGCTATATACCCAATATACTGAATATAGCATGTTTTCTGATAACTAAATGAATGACCAACTGGTTAAACCAACTTTCTACACAACTGTGTGAACTGAAAGGTATTATCTCATTTAATTCCAAACTTAAATTCAGTTCAGCTGGAGGCCAGCTTGCTTCTGGCATTTAACTGAGCTAATGTAAAGTGTGAAGTAAAACCAAAAAAAAATCTTAAAATGATATTTCCTCAACATTTATTTAGTAAATGCCTTGTTATCTTAAATTATGGAAAGGTTAGTAGGTATGTTTGATTTTTGCAAATTATAATTCAATTGACCAAATAAAAAGATAATATTAAATGATGGCCCAGCCCGACTCCGGACCAGAATTCCTAGCGGTAAAGTGTCTACAAGTACAACAGCAATCAATGGCCTAGATAAAACCATCTAGAACACGTGGCCTCTAAAGTGTTTGGGAACCAATGCCTCCATCCTATATTTTTCAAACTCTGCTTTCAGTCTTCTGACTGGACTAACCTTTGACCTTGAGCTCCATGCTACAGCTCTCGCTGCCGGCCTCGTTGCGGGCCTCGCAGTAGTAAAGCCCGCTGTCTTTGGTTTCAGCGCCACACACCTCCAGCGTGGCCACAGAGTTAACAAACACCATCTTGTACCGATCGCTGGGGCTGATCTCAGAGCCTTCCCTGAACCAGCAGATGTCTATCTCAGGCGTGCCGGTCACCTGGCACTCAAACATTTTACTCTGACCGGGACGGACCACGGACAACCGAGCGGGGGTCCGTGTGAACTTAGGGGGCTCTAAGGAACAACATAAAATGATAAATGTGACTTTGACGAAAAAAACTGATCTCTATGAAGTTCACAAAATATGTTTCCATCCAAGTGTTGCTCAAAGCCTTTGGGGAGAGATGTGGTGAGTTTCTTAAGAGCCCTCTTATAGCCCTCTTCTCTTTGACTCTGTTTGCACAGTTTAGGCTTATGGAAATACTTCCTGTCATTTTGGAGTCATCCAAAAAGATCCATATATTCCATGTATTAAAATCTGTTTGAACAACTTATTTCTTCTTCGTAAATGTAATGCTGTTTCAATGTTCCCTTTTTCCATGTACCATTTGCAGGCGATTTGCTCGCCACTGAAAGGCAAGCTGATGCTACGGTTCAAAGTCACCTCCGACAGCAGTGAACACACTACTGTCTTTAGATGGACTGCTCTGCACCAGAAGAACCAGGGTCAGCATGAAGTATAGGGATCAAACTGATTCTGCATAACATTTCCTTTAAGAACAAATGGATGGAGACATATTGACTGGCTCAGTTTCACAAAGGGAATATTAACCTTTCACAAAGAGTGTAGCCTGACAGGAAGTGGAGCCCACATCGTTCTGGATCTCACAGACAAACTCTCCAGAGTCAGAGGTTTTTGCAAAGAAAAGCTCCAAAGAGCTTGAGGTATTGTCTTTGACCACATTGCAGTCAGCACTGGATGTAATCTCCTTCCTGTTTTTAAACCATTTGGTGGTGAGCGGCGGCGTGCCAGACATCAGAACATTAAACTGGACCTTTGAGCCCGGCAACACATTCATGGATTCAGGCTTTTCAAGAATGCATGGTGGTTCTGGAAGAGAAAACACGAAATAATGCTTGAGATAAAACCCTTTGTGTCTTTGTGTACCTACTGATGAATACCACATATTGAATGTGTGTGCAAACCTTTGACGAACAAGATGCCGGAGCACTGCACGGTCCCCGCTTTGTTTTTAGCGATGCAGGTATAGCTGCCGCTCTCTTTACCGTTTAGGTTAGAGATTTCCAGAAAAGCAACATTTTCAAAGAATGTGCTTTTGTGTTTCTCATCAGTCTGGATCTCTTTCTCATCTTTGTACCATTGAATGGTTATCGGCAGAGAGCCGGATACAAGGCACTCCAGATGAGCAAACGATCCTTTGATACCTTCTGTCTGCTTCAGTTTTCTCGTAAAAGAAGGGGGAATGATTTGATCTGACATAGATGGAGGAAGAGAGAGGTGAGAAACAAATCTTCAAAGTTAGATGTTATTAAATTAAACTGATATTAGGTACTCGTTAACCACTGACCGAGGACGGTGAGTGTGGCCTCGCAAGAACTTTGTCCGACATCATTTGAGACCTCGAAGGTGTAGTCACCACTGTCACCTTTCTCAGTTTTGATCATCTTGAGCACAGAGCTGGTGTCTGTGCTCTGAACTTTATATCTCTGGCCTGAGCTCAGCTCCTTGCCGGCCTTCAGCCATCTGGCCTTCAGCGGCTTGGTGCCTAAGAACCGGGCCTCCAGCGTGGCCGGATCGCCCTGAGTGACGCTGATGGACTTGGCCTCCTCTGTGACCTTCGCCGGCTCTGAGACGCCAAACAAAACAGTCAGCAACGAATTTCAAATCTGACCAATAACTGAACTCAATGAAAGAGATAAGATTCGAGAGTTGCATTTGGTCCTTGTCAACTTGTTAGGTCGTACAATTATCGTCCGACAAATGTCTGTTGAGGAATTTAAAGTCCAAAAGGCGTAATGTCACGATTCGTATCATTTCTATCGATGTCTTAAACACCTTGTTGGCCATTTGAGGGACATTTCCTGCGAGTAAACTTTTTAATGTGTGACTTCACAAGCTGATAAGGATTTCCTGCACCAATCAAAAGAGTTCTCGAGGTTCCTAACAAACCTTTGACTGTCACCACAGCAGAGCAGGTCTGGCTGCCGGCCTGGTTCTGCGCCTGGCACGAGTATTTGCCGCCATGTTTGCTCTGCAGGTTGTCGAAGTGCAGCAGCGCGGTGTTGTTCTCGTAAGTAAACTGAATGTTTTCAGCCTCTTTGAGCTCGTGGTTGTCTTTGGTCCAGGACACGCTCATGGGCTCAGAGCCCTTCAGAGAGCACTGCAGAGAGACCTCGCTGCCAACCAGGGAGCTGAGGCTCTCCAGCTTTTTCACAAACGACGGTGGTTCTACAGGGAGACATTTTATGTTTAATACTGGCTTCTCTATATTAGCCTCGCAAAGTGAGAACCCATCCTGCAAACTCAGTCTTTTCTGTGGTATTTGAGTGGACTTTCCATGTATAGAAATCCAACTGTCAAAGGAGATCGTTTAAGATTGGGATTTTGAAGGTCGAACCTTTGTCTTTTTAACAGAAGCAAAAGCCAATTAGCCCCTAGAAGTCCAACATATTTGTCTAATCGGGTTTAGAAAGGGTACTTCTGTCTACCCTTAATATACAGAGCAAGTCTGTCCTTCCCACATTTGGAAACCTTCGACCTATGAGAGATTTCCTCTGATCCGAATTGAGGATCTATGGCTAGAGGGTGAACAGAGTTGTACATATTGTAAAAACATCAGAGACATCTTTCAGGATCCTTACTTTAAGTTGATCAAGAAACAAAGCATCCTTAAGCAAATGCCTTCTGAGCGTTGCCAGTTCAGGGTGAGTCTTTGCGAGGCTACGTGTTGGATTATCAAATGGTCAATAGCTTCTAAACCAACCTTTTAGCGTTACTTGACAATCGCAGGAGGCCTTCCCCACCTCATTCTCTACAGTACACTGGTACAACCCCACGTCTCCTGCCTCCACTGCCAGCACCTGCAGCGCTATCAGGTCGTCCTTCACTGTGATCATGTGTCTCTTGTCATTCCTAATCGGCTTAGTGTTTTTATAAAAGGACACAGTGAAGGGGACTGAGCCGGAGACCTGGCCCTCCAGCCTCATCTCAGAGCCTTTCACAACATCTCTGGGCTCCAAGCTACGCACAAACAATGGCGGATCTAGAAGAGAACAGCGGATACAGGTTTGACATATGATGATGCCAAAAAATCTAAATAACAAGATTCAACTAGAGTTGTATTGTGGAGATGAAGATTATTTTTCTGATTTCTTATCCCTATGGAAAGGCCACGCCCAGTTTAGGCTACACTCTCGACAGTGGTTTTCAATGATGTCCTCATCCACCAGGGGGTGTGGTGTCTTTACATGATAATGGAGTGTTCAGGTTAGAAAGACCCCAACGTACGGCCCCTTGAAGTCTGATTTGAACTCTATAATTAGGGTTAGGATTCAGAATAGCTGAAAGCTGTAGTATTATACTTTTGCTTTATAGCTTTTGTGTCTTATGTGTGTCATACAGGAGTGCTCTTCTGTACACATGTCACAACGTTGTTCAGCTAAAATGGTTAATGATTTCTAACTCAAGGTAAAAAGCATAAATGCTGATGGTCCTTTGAACCGAAGAAAGAAAAAAAGGTCTTCAAAGCCACAATAAAACTCTTAATTTCCTAAAAGTATTGGAGTGAAATGATTCCTGAAACTAACCTTTGATAGTCACTGTGCTGCTGCAGCGGTCACTGCCAGCCTCGCTGGACGCCACACACACATATTCTCCCCTATCCTCCACTGCACTGTTGACTATTTCCAGAGAGGCCACTAAGTCAGTTAAAGTCATTTTGTATTTAGCACTGGAGCTGATCTCCATCTCGTCCTTGAACCATTTAAAAGAGATGACGGGGCTGCCCGTTACTTTGCACTCCAGCGAGGCGGAGTCGCCGCTGGTAACAAGTTTGGTGGCCTCGAGTTTCCTCACGAACACGGGCGGTTCTGAGAGAAGAGGTTAACATTCATTATCAGACAGAAGACATTATGTTAGTATCCAAAGAGACATTGATGTCAAGACATGTTCATGCAGCTGCACGCGTAAACACCTTTCACAAAGAGGACTGCGGTGCAGTCCACCTTCCCAGCATCATTGGACACCTGGCATGTGTACTTCCCAGAGTCACTGGGTTTCACTGAGTTTAGCTCCAAAGAGCTGGAAGAGGCGTCTTTCTTTATGAAGTATGAGCCTCCAGACACAATCTCTTTCTCCTCTCTGAACCACTTCACAGCTAACGGAGCTGTTCCAGTGAAGCCCGTTTTGAAGGAAACTGTGGTTCCTGGTTTAACATCCTGGTTGTTTGGTTTTGCTGTAAACAATGGGGGCTCTAGAGGCCATGAAATAAACAAATATACATTTCATGTTAGCATGAAATAACTCAAGGATTGTACAGAAAAAATAAAAGCACAACATTAGCCAAGTGTTTATAACCTTTGACATAGAGCGTGCCGCTGGTTTCCTTAAAGCCGGCAGAATTGGTTGCTCTGCATTTGTAAACTCCAGAGTCGGCCTTCTCCAGCTTTATAACTCTCAGCGAAGCAGAGCTGTCTTTGAATTCAGGCTGGAATTTGGATCCAGACTTGATCTCCTGGTCGTCTTTGAACCAAGATATGGTCATGGGTTGGGACCCAGACACTTTACAATCCATGGAGACGTCATTACCAATGTTACCGTCAACCCTTTTCAGGGACTTGGTGAACGTTGGAGGCATTATCCGATCTGGTTGTTGAAGAAAAAACATGCATTATCACAATTTCATACAGTTTTCAAAAAGAGTCACTCAACTCAAATCTAAAAGACAACACTTTGCACCCTGTGTTTGGTTTTAGGTTTAAGACTTTAGCTTGATGTTAGTCCATGGGAATACAGTGTGTCAAAGTCCGGTTCCTTTTAGTCATGAACATAATCAACCACTTTAGATTTTGCAAGAACAAATATTAAAGAAGAGTAAAACCGGGAGCTAACCTAAGATGGAGACCGAGCATGTGCACTGGTCTTTGCCGACTTTATTGGACACTTCCATCTTATACTCTGAAGTGTCTCCTCTTTCTGCCGTGAGGATCTTCATGGTGGCCACGTTGTCCTTCAGAGTCATCTTATATTTACGGCCACTGATCATCTCCTTCCCGTCTTTAAACCACTTCACTTTCAGGTCTGGGCTTCCAGAGATGGTGCACTCCAAAGTGGCTGAATCCCCTGCGGTCACACTAATGGACTCTGCAGGTTCTACCACTCTCGCAGGTTCTGGGATGAGACAGATTCGATATAAGACACTAGAACCTATAGAACTACAACAACATAGGAAATAAAAAGCATCTGCAGAAACCAACCTTGCACGGTCAAGGTAGCTTCGCATTTCAGTTGGCCAGCCTGGTTCTCAGCTGTGCACGAATACTTTCCGCCATGGCTGATGGCCACGGTCGTTATCGACAAGCTAGCAACATTGTTCTCAAACACCATCTTGATGTTTGAATCGTCATCTCTCAGTATCTCAGAGTCTTTCATCCATTTCACTGTGATGGGCGCCGAGCCCTTTATGGTCCCCTGGAGTTTTACTGTATTTCCCAACACCGCTGTAGCACTCTCAACCCTCTTTGAGAAAGTGGGAGGCTCTACAGAAACATTTCAATAGTTAACAAGTGAATTTAAAAGATGACACTAATAACACCTTTAGTCAGCTCAGGAATACTAACCTTTAAGTTTAGCTACGGCCTTAGTGGTGACTTTGCCCACATCATTGGATATGACACACTGATAATCTCCAACATCTGCGCTCTCAAAGGTCTGGATCTCCAGCCTCGATAAGGAATCCTGGGAGATTATTTTATGTTTCTGATCACTGGAGATGGCTTTCTTATTTTTTACCCAGCTGATTTCAAAGGGAGCTGTTCCTGCGATCTCACACTCCATCTGAGTGGATGCTCCCTTCACCGCCTCAACTGTCTGCAGCTCTTTTCTAATGGACGGTGGCTCTGAGAGTCAAAAAGGTGTATGCAGTTAATACCAAAGCTTTCCTGAATTACACAGAGGGTTCATTTAATGCAAGACTTGACAAACCTTTGACAGCTATAAGAGTGTTGCAGCTCTCGCTGCCGGCATTATTGGACACCTCACAGGTGTAACTCCCACTGTCTGTGATCAGGAGGTTCAGTATTTCCAAAGAGGCAACGCCGCTCTTGAAAGATATTTGATATTTATCTCCATCACTGAGCTCTCTCTCATTCCAGAACCAGTGGATGTGCAGCTGAGGCGATCCTTTTACGGAGCACTGTAAGCGTGCAGCTATACCTTGTTTCCATGTTATCTTATTTTCCATTTTCTTTACAAAGGTAGGGGGCTCTGAAAGGAGTGTTTAGTTCAAAAACACCAAGATCATTGTCAGAAGAGACACAGGAAAGAAACAAAAGACAGAAAAGTGCGTAAAGAAGACAAGAGACAGAAGGTAGCAGTGCATAGTGTTAGCATCAGCTTGTCAGCAGTAATCCACTTTATCTAACGCAAAGATCACCTTTAAGATCTTACCTTGAACTGATACCTCAGCCTCGCAGGATGAACTGCCTGCCTCATTTGCGGCTGTGCACACATATTTCCCAGAGTCCTTCAGCTTAGACTTGGGTATCTCAACAACAGCCACCTTATCCTCAAAGGACAGTTTACAATCCATGCTCTGGTGGACCTTTTTGCCATCCCTGGTCCAGGTGACGGTCACACCAGTGTCCTCGTCCACCTGGCACTCCAGCCTCAGCGGGTCGTTGACAGCGACTGACGCCGGCTCAACGGTCTGAACAAAGCTGGGCTTGTTGACAACCCTGAGCTCTGTGGTAAACGTAGCAGTGCCAACACTGTTGGAGGCCTTGCACAGGTACACCCCCTGGTCAGCCACAGTAAGACTTTTAATCTGAAGCGAATACTTGTTCTTTTCACATGTCATGACATAGTTCCCTCCGGAGGAGACGGCTATGTTGTCCTTGTGCCAGACAACCTCCATGGGTGATGTCCCAGTGAGTGAGCACTGGAGCATGGCCTGTTTGCCCACATACAAAGTCATTGGGTCTGGTTGTGATACAAATACCGGTGGGTACATTTCTATGGAGAGCAGGTAGAACATACAATTAAGGATTTAGTATAATAAAAGGGGGAAAAATACACCAACATCAAAATGAACCTGTGGAATCTCAACAGCTTTAAACAAGAGATCCTCAACCTGTTTATATGTTGCCAAATGTGACACCAGATCCAATTTATGAACAAATCATTTCCACATCGCACCATAAAGGATTCAGGGGGGAAACAAATGCATATAATTCTCTCTCTCTCAAACAGACACTTGTAAAGCAGTAATAGGGAACAAAAAGGTCCCATCAGGGTCTTACCGGTGACGATGAGCGAGGCGGTGCAGCTGGCAGTGCCGTGCTGGTTTGAAGCCTTGCAAGTGTATTCACTACTGTCGGCTTTGATTGGGTTCAGCAGCTCCAGGGAGGAGCTGTTGTGGCGGCTGAGGATCCTGTACTTGTCACTCTGTTTGATCTCGACGGTAGATTTGTACCATTTGAAAGTCACACCTGGAGCATCCTCGATTTCACATTCGAACTTGGCTTGTCCGCCGATGTTTATGTCCAAGGGTTGGATTTTCTGCCTAAAGACAGGTGGCACTGAGGCACAAACAGACAGAAACAGGAAAAAAGTCAGTCATGGAATCTATGAAACTCTTAAAAATAACAACTGACATATCAGGAACAGGAATGGAGGGAATGTGGAACAATGGTGGATACAGGAGTGACTGTGGAGGAGAAACATAGCAAGAACATTAGCCCCATCATTTCACTGCTTTCATTGTGCAGGATAGTCATGGGGCTAGGGTTCAGGCTGAAGGAAAAGAAAGGTTGTGAAAGATGAAGCAATGTCAGGTTGATCCCTGAGAGCATGCAGAGACATTGTGGAGAGAATGGACCTGAAGGATTGTGATGGGTTGAAACACAAGGAACCTGTGACCATGGAAAGACCATGAAAGTTACCTAAAGGCCAGGATCATGACCACCATTAAAGCGAGACGCTACAAAGTGTGAAGCTACATTTAAATGGCTGTGACAATCCTGGCCTTTAGGCATCATACGAAGAGGTGGAAGACACAAGAAATGGTGAGTTAGTACCATCCAGTGACCCGCTGAAGGTGCTCATGCCGAGCTATGAAATGAAAAAGAGACCAAAATGACCGGAGCATCATTTCATGTGAGGTCTTGAATGAACCAGTGAATGATTAGTCATTCTCGGAGGAAGTGTGATGAATGGATGAATGAAACAATAACTTGATCCTGTTATCAAACCTCTTGAGACCACAGTGAGTCTTGAAGACGTTGTAGTCCTGCCGGCTTCATTCTCAGCCTCACAAACATATTCTCCTTGATGCTTCTCCTTCACAACTTTGTTGATAACCAGTGTGTATGTGTCGTGGTCTTTGCAACACTTGAACTCTTTGCCAGATTTGACCAATTGCCCATTGAAAAACCAGTTTACCTTTGTGACGCACTTAATGGTGCTGCTAAAGGTTACTTTACTATCCTCATCTATGGATATGTCTTCGAGGGAGACGACTATAACGGGGATTTCTCTCTGCTCTGACCTGGATACTGTGATTTCCTCTGTAAAGGTCTCCTCCCTGTGCTCCTGGATGCTAAAGCCCATCACCTGTTCAGTAGGGACGGTGGTGGGAGGCAGGGTCGTGGTTAAAAAAGTCGCACCTACATCTTTCTCCCTGCTTGTCATGGTAACTGACCTCACTTCCTGCCTTGACACCTGTAGCGACTGCTCAAAAGCCGTGTGGGACTCTGTGGAAACTTTGATTTGGGATGTCTGCTCCATCTTTGCTGCCTTGGATTCCTGCACCTCAACCCGCTGCTCAGCTGAAGCACTTTTAACCGCCACGTTGGACTCAGTTTTCAGTGCAGCAGCCTGAGATTTAACGGCAGTGAAACCTACGGCACTCTCTGCCACGCTCACAGTCTCCACCATGGATGACAGCATTTGCTTAGAGTGTGCCGAGGCGACCTGCGCCCTCTGAGGTTTGTCTAGCTGCATAGTGCCCGGCTGCTCCGAGGTGAGAACCTGGGCTTCCTGGTACACTATGGAGTGGAAAGCTGCCTGCAGTTCAGTCCTGAGGTCAGCGGTCTGAGGGTATGTACCCTCAATAGCCAGCGTGATCTCCATGGGGGCACCTGTGGTCGTGATCAGGTATGTAAACATGGCCCGCTTAGGCTCTTTTTGAACCTTGACTTCCTGTACTTCTACAGCATGCAACCTCCCTACGACGTCAGCCAGTAACACCGGCTGGTCGCTGGCCACAGCCGACTGCAGGGCGTCTCTGAGCTGGTGCCGGATATTCAGACTGAAGGGTTTAGGGATCTGAATCACAAAGGTCATCTCTTTGGGAAGAGAGGTAGTGTCTTTGGACTCTGACGCCATAAGGGACAGTTTGGGCTGCCTGGTGACAGACACTTTAGTGGACTTAGACTTGGAGATCTCCTGAGAGAGCTCACCGGTCAGCACTCGCTTCTCGTCCATCACGATGGACTGCCTGACTGACTGGCCCTCCTGGATTTGAACAGCAAAGTCCTGTTGGGCCGCCTCTAGAATGACACTACTCTCAGTGGACATCTCCTTCTCCTCTATCTGGACTGGCTCTGTGGGGAGTTTTGGCTCCACAGCCATCTGGCAGGTGAATTTATCCACCGCTGTAAGACCCTCAGTGTGGTCCTCCTGTAGGGCCCGACTCTCCTCCACAGTGGTGACATGCATCACGTTCGAGCGATCCTCCTTCTGTACCAAAGCTCGCTGCTGCTTTACATCCGAGGTGACTGGCGTCTCCTTTGGGAGCGTCATGGGCTGGAAGGAGAGCTGCAGGATGTTCTGAGGCCTAGGCTCAGTCCGGAGTTGCGACTGAATGCCGGTCACGGACAAATCCAGCTCTGTGTGATAATCTGCTGTCAGCTCCCTTCTCTCCTCTGAGGTAGCTGCATGACTTCTAGTCTTTTCCTGTTTCTGAGCCGCGACCTGCTGGTCAGGCTTCTCAATAACGAGAAGACCCTCTTTGGGCAGCGCCTCCACAGGTTGGGTTGACTGCCGATGCAGCAGAGTACGAGACTCTTTCTGGGGCTGGATGGTCATGGAGCTAGCCTTTGCCTCGAATGCTGACGTGTCCTCACAAACTACTGTCTTCTGCTCGTCCTGGCTAACGGCATGCAGCAGAGTCGGGCTCTTCCTGGCTCCTGCCTGCTCTGCTGCTGGTTTCTCACAGGTGAAGCTCTTCTCAGATGGAAGGAGGTCCTGATCTGTGATCACCTGCAGGTGCAACAACTGCTCTCCTTCTACCTGGGACTGAACGGACATGGCACTGTCCAGACTGGGAAGCTGCTGTGTGAGCTCAGCCTGGAGCATTTGCTTCTCTTCAGCAGTTAGAGCACCCTTTATTATTTTATCCTTACAAAGATGGGCTGTCTCCTCAGAGGGCCTCTGCATGGAGAACTCAGTCTCCTTGGAAAGAGTCTGTTTGGACTCGCTAACTGACGCTAAGACAGGTCGGTGCTGTTCTTTCTTTACAGACGGCTTCACAGCAGAATCTGCTGTTGCTAAATCAGCGGTGTGGCCCTCTGAAAGCACCCGTTTCTCTGCAGACTGGGCAGAGTATAAAATCTTAATCCCCTCCTTAACCTTATAACCCTTCTCTGCCTGGGATTCTGGGATCTCCTGAGACTGCTCTCTAAGGATGGGCAGCTGTGACTGGACTTGATGCCCGCTGACTAAATGTTTAGGCTCTGATGTGGGCCTGACAGAAGCGGACTTCCGGTCGGACAGGGGGTCTGTGCTAACAGTAGACAGCGGTGTGAGCTCCTCAGCGACAGCGGACATCACCATTGACCTCCTCTCTCGAGCCGCCTGAAGCTCGATGACCTCAGGGCTCAGAATGCGGTCACAGTGCTGCTCTGTGAAGTCCTGACTCTCCTCGACGGAGGACGTAAACGCCGCCATGTGAAGCTGCTTCACAGGGACTGTGGAAACCTGAGCTGGGTGGGTGGGAACCACCGACACCCGCTCCTCTACCTCAAGAGACTGGAGCACTGCTGCTTGGTGGGTCAGCTGCTCACGGTGGATAGTGGCGGCGGAGATATCTAGTTCTCTAAGCGGGCCCACTTGCTCACTGGGAATGACCTGCTGGTCTTCAGTTCCGATGGTGTAAACCATCTGATCAGACCTGGATCTGTCCTGACCCGGGAGGCTAACCTGGTACAGACGAGACTCTGTTGCTTGTTCTGTCATTGAAACCTTATAGCCTTTCTTCTGAACCGTGGTCACCTGCTCCTGTTTCCGTGAAACAGAGACAGTTTCTCTGAACACAACGAGCTCTGCACTACAGGACGCCTCACCTAACTGGTTGGAGGCCTTGCATGTGTAAAGGCCGCTATCTTCCTGTTTGACGCTCTTAATATTGACAAAGCCAGATCCATCTGGGTTGGCTTTAACGATACAGTTTCTACTGGGCTGGATCTGGAAAGCCCCTTTGAACCACCTCACATCGGGCATTGGATCACCGCTGGCGTTGTAACTAAAGGAAACCTCTCCTCCCTCTGAGCAGCGCACAGGTTGGATCTGAACTGTGAACGTTGGAGGTTGACCCGTGATCTTAAACATCTTCTCTACCCATTTCTCCGCCTGGCTAACATCATGCTTCTTAACCTCGAGGTACGTGGTGCAGGTTGTCTGGCCTAATCGGTTGGTGGCGGTGCAGGAGTACTCGCCCTCATACTCGGTTGTGACCTTTGTGATGACTAACGTATACTCCTCTTTCTCCTCTATCAGCCTGTATATGGACGAGCTCTGAATCGCTTTTCCATTGTGAGACCATTTAACGGTCGGTTTTGGAAAGCCGGACAGTCTAACGGTGAGTCTAGCCGTCTCCCCGGTGGTGACCGCTGCCGGGGCGAGCTGGCTGAGGAAAACTGGCTTTTCTTTTTTCTTCTCTAAAGAGGAAGAGTAGCGTTTGGACTCTGGCGTGAGTTCAAGTGTTTTGGTTTTCTGAGGTAACTGGACCCCAGAGTAGTAGGTCTCCTCTTGCTCCTCGACAGTGGTGATGGTGGTGCTAGTACGCTCTGTTGGAAATATTGAGCATCACTCAAAACAATATCCACAACACAGAAGCTCGAATATTAACATTGAATTTGGAAATGCAAGAATTAGGGCTGTCCTTAACCACAGAGACTCTCAAGGTAGATTTAGGATTATTTTTCCAATCACTCATATTTTAAATTATTAATAAAAATGAAATGCAATCTTACTAAAAATTCTAAAAAAAAGAGAAATATATCAAAATGAAAAAAGAAAGCAACCAAATAAAATAATTGTTTATGACTGTGATTGAGAGAGGACAGCCCTACTATAAAAAAAGAGCAATAAAATGCATCAAAGATAAACATATTGTAAAAAATTGATATTCCCCCAAACGGTTTATGATTCTTGGACATTTTCTCAGCTTAAAAAAGTAGTTTATTTTTCTGATTGTAAATAAAATCAGAAAAATAAAACACTTTTTGGTAATAAGCGTAATTACCAAACGTTTTGTTTTTTTTGTTGCCAAAACGGACCTCAGCAAAATCAGGAATTG